AGCAGAGCTGAGCCAAGCCTGCAAGCTGTGTGTTGGAGCAGCTCTCAGAGCCACCCGATCTGCTCCCCCATCACTCCCTGGGCTGAGCCCCGCCACTGCTTCAGTTTCCCCTTCCCTTCCTCAGCAAGATCCTGCCCCCTGCGCACTCTGAAACCTACTGATGGACAGGGCTGACTTGTGAGAGCTTGTGCTGGTGACCGCCAGCCCTGAGCGCCCAAAGCCACTGTGGAGTGCAGTTCCACGGGACAAGAAGCCAGCGAGCAGAGGCCGTGGGGTGTCAGACACTTTCCTAACCAGGTAGCATGAGCCCCCAGCCCTACACACATGCAGTGAGGCACCCCGTGAGTGGCCGTGCCACCCCCCTGCCCAGCACCCAGCATCCGCAGATGGGTAGGGGTAGAAGCCCTGAGGTTTCCTCCTCCCACGGCATTTACCTGTGTCACAAACTTGTTTTCTTTCCAGACCTGCTGGGGACCCTGGTCTTGGATGGTCTTTTTGACGGAGCATGGTGGGCGGTAGGAGTCAGTGTAAGTGCTGATGGGGGTCTTGTGTTTTTTGGAGAAGAGGAACATGGTACAGCAGCCTGCAGGGATGGGAGTGCTTGGAGTCCCAGAGGGTCCCAGGGATGCCCCACTGGATGAGCAGCACTGCGTGGGCCTGGGGACTTGCAGCCCATGCAGGAAAGGAAACGGGACTGATGGCACTGCTTTGCCAGCCCAGTACTTATGTCATCAGTGATGTCATAGTGTGGGGGTAGGGGGATTTGGTGCTTTTCTGTAGGTCCCATAGCAACGCTCTCGTTCTAGCCTAGGGCACAGCAATTGCTGCCTGCGTCCCATCCACCGACTGCACCCTCCTGGCTTTGTCCTGGCTCCAGGCTCCCTCCCCTCCTGCAGGCAATTAACAATGGTAGGAAACAGTTTCAGCTGGTTCTAGTCAAGAAAATTTGATTTTGGGAGGCACAGGAGCAGCGATTGCAGCTTTTCCAGTTTTCCAGCCCTTCTCTCCCATATTTTCTTTGGAAGTCCTGCAGTAGCCCAGCTGTGTGCACACAGCACTACACCAGTGCAGCCAGTGCCCGTGGCACAGCACTGGGCACCGCTGTCCCAGCCTGCTGGTGTAGCCAGTGGAATTATTGCCTGCTCTGTCTTCCCTTTTGAATTAAAAAGCTGGATTTAGGTGATCCTGTGTGGCTTGTTTGCTCTGCTGTCCTGAGTGATGGGCTCTGCAGTCAGAGTGAGCGATCCTCACCCATCTCAGTGCAGAGCAGCAGACGGGTTATGCCAGGGAGGGATTTGCATGACCTGGGTTTTCTTTTCCCTGAGCTGGGGAGTCAAGCAGAAATCCCTGCCCCTGCAGAAACCCCGCTCTGGCCCGGTTTGTCATGCAGTGCCAACCCAGAGCCCTGCTCTGCTCCTGGCTCCGGCCCCTCTGCTGCCATGTTTTTGGAGACAACAGGTTTTTGGTGAAGACCTCATGTCTATTTTGGCAGGGTGGATGCCAATGCACCCCCCAAAGGGCTTGCAGAGCTCTGTTCTGCTACAGGTGACTGTGGGGCTGGGAAGCCTGGGGCACCCAAATGCCTCCAGGCAAATGTGATGCATGCGCCGTTAGAGAGGAAATGAACAAGCTGCCATTGATTTTCACACCCTGCTGGTCTCTGTTGAGCCAGGCTTAGGCTCCCCATCAGCCCTGTACCCTCCTGGGAGCCAGTGGGAGGCTGGGAGGGAGGGTGGACACTGGGGTGCCTACCCACACCCCCGCTCCGTGGCGTTGGAGCACCCCAGGGCACAGATCTGGGGAGCACAGCTCTGCACAGAGGTGGAGTCTGGCTTCTCAGTGGGGGGGACACTAATCCTGCACCAGACTGGCTGCCAGCATGAGCAATTGGCTCTCTCACAGCTGTCCCATCCCCAGCAGTCCTGGGGGTTTCCAGCTGCTGGTGTCGGACTTCTTTAAAATCAGTGCTCGGCTCTTGTGCCAACAGCTTCGAGGGGCAGAAATGGCTGCAATGCTGGAGAAAAAGTTGTTTCAACCCATCAGTGTCATACAGATGCAGCACTTCTTCCTGCTTCTGTTGCAGCCCAGAGGC